AAATCCCTGCTGGATCGACGGATGGCGTGTAGAAAACGCGAAGATTATGAGTAATTTAACCTTTTAAAAACATTTAAGTTGGTGGCTATAATACATAAGGACCTTTCGAAGACCCCACTTGGACACCCTACCTGGACATTTTCTCATTGATTTCTCACACCCCTATAAATTGAAACATATTTTATAGGACTACGACGTTCCTCTTTGCTTTCATTTGGTAGCAAATTATTTCTTCAATTTTTCATACTTACAGCGCAAGTATATTTAGAGTTTCCGAAGCTCGTGCAATCGTCGAATAGCCTTCTTTCCGGCAATTCATCATCGGACCTGTACGATTAAGTGGACAATGAAAATACTATAGTTGGACCTGGTTAATAGGTGTCTTTTGATTACCACGCATAGTTTTCACACTGTCCGCATGGCAAGATCGGCATGTAGAGGTCATTGCACTGGGGGATGGCGGAAAATAGGATAGGCTGTGAGTATTAGTCATAGGTCGGTGGAAAACTGTCGCCCGGGGGGTGGGGACGACATGCAATCGCCACCCGGCGTCGTCGTCGGCCATGTAAGAGATAGTTCCTGTATTAGCGTTTTTTGACAACACAGCACTAGATTCACTAGCCGTATAGCCACTGTCTCGGCTGTTGCTAGCACCCGTTAGAATCAAGTCGGTGATTGGTATCGACAACGGATTGATCTAGTTTCACCTTTACTTGGCCAGGCCGTTATGTGTTCACGTATCGTATCTAGTAGGCGTCTTGTTGTTGGATCAGTGTATGCTGCTCCACACAAACAGGTGAAGTAGTAAGTACACATCGATGTGGCCTTCAACAGGAGTCGTTCTTTACCTTCCAAGCGTAAGAGGAGAGAGTTCGTGAAGCATCTGCATAAGTTCGCCGCCGGAGGTCACTTGTGATCGCAGTCTTCAGACATCGTTTTATCAGCTCCTTTGTTGTATCGCCTATGAAAGGCAGTCTTATGAACACGTCTTTCTTTTTTTTCGGTTAAGGTACAAGGCTCTCTGGTGAGGATAAACCTTTTTGGGTATCAGTTTTTAAGAAGCCTGTTCTGCAGCTGCCTTTTGACACGTCGCGGCGCCAGTTGGTGAGGGAGGAAAGTGCGGTAGATGCAATGCAAGTCTATTATCATTACAAACTGGTTCACGCGCAAGTAATTCTCCCTGCGCCCCAAGACGCGCATTGTTGTTCGCGACGGTTAAACCGGTAGAATGACCGGCTGCCAGCCTTATCTGGATACCGCTCTGCTCAATTCGTGTTCTGTAAAATGGCCGCAAGCTACAGCCTTATTACTTTTTGCAGCCGTGCAAAAACTTTGGAATTCCAATATATAGTGTGTCTTTGTGTGTGTGGCTGGTTACGTACAATTTGAGATCCGGAAAACTATAGGAGACCTTCTCATGCAACTGTTTTCCGACCAAGCTTGGCTTGACGTGAATTTTAGCGACCAAAGAGCTGTGATCTGCACACTTCGATTGCGTGCATTGAGGGCCCCTAGCACCACGAGGAGAAGCATTTCAACTCTGTAGCTCCTTTTGAAATGGATTCTGAAAGGTCCCGGGTAATATTGTTCAGATTTCACCTTTTTAGGTAGCATTACTTTTGCGCAGGGGACTATAAGGTTTCGTGTTTTTTTTATTACATGAATGTTGTTATAACGGATGCCTAGGCCGAGATATTGCCGCCCAATGATGTCCCGTGTGAGTCCCCAAAGAGAGAACACGACAAGAAGGGTGCAATAGTAGAAGTCTTTTAGTGTTCAACGTACAATAAATTTAGAGAAACTAACGTGTGTAACGTTTTCCATTGAGCCAATCAGATTTCGTTCTGAGATGGTGGCCAGTCCCATTGGTTCTTTGGCTCATTTGGTTGGTTGGTAGCCCATGTTGGATCAGGGGTTCCCGCCGGAGTCCAAA